GCAAGAAGTCCTTTCTTTTATCTGTTGTAAATCTCCTTCCAGTAAGCTAGACCAGTAAGCTATTCCAATTGTATTTTTTGTGGAAGAACCTGACTCCAGAGATTCCCAATCCCTGGGCCGCAGCTCACTATTGGCCCACAGCCGGTTTGAAACTGGGCCATGTGATTGGCGGGCCCTTGCACTCACGTACAAAGCTCTACTTACACGAATGGAGCTTCGCGCATGAGTGCAAGCACCCTTCGCTCATGAGAATGGAACTTTGTGCAAGCGGTGGGCACCATTCATGTGAGTGAAGGTCACCTGCACCTGCCGCTCACACAAATGAAGCTGTGTGTGTGTGTACACCTGCCACTCCCCCACGCCAGGTAACCAAGCTGGAAAGAATGGGGACTACTGACTTACTCCATACTGAGCATGATTCATTCACCTTGATCATATCTTCCTTCAGTTGTTTTTTCTCTGTGCAAAAGGATGTCAGATATTCTTTTAAAGTAGATATTTCGGCCTTCTTTTTCTTTTGATGCCCTCTTTGTCACTGTTTCTACTGTTTCCTTTTTCAAATATCTCCAATACAGATTTACTAACAGTTTATTTAAAGGCATTCCACTGATGACAGTTCCTTTTTCCTTGTCTTCACGGCCATCACCCACAGATTCTACAACTTCAATAAGCTATCTACAGTTTCACCAAGATTTTTTTCTCAAATGATTATAGATAAACTCAGTCCCCATGTATATATGTGAAGTTAAGATATTTTCCCCCAATGAAATCATTTTACACTTACTTAAATTGAACTGCGTATGCCGTTGAGATGAATATTCATCTAATTTAAGAGATCCGTCTGGAACGCTTCACATCTCGTTTTTCACCACCCTGTATACTATGATGTCATCTGCAGATTTGGCCAGCTCAGTCTTAGTCTCTACTGTATATTACGATCATTTATGGACACAGATTTTTGAGAAACTCTACTTCTTGTTTCCTTCCTTTCTCTGAGAATATTGCCCCTCTGTTTTGATTCTTTGAGCTTTTTAAACCAATTACCACTCAGTGAAAGGAAAAATTCTGTTACCCTGTTCCAATTTCAAGACTGGGTTGGCTATCTGTTGCTTTTGTCTGCAGGAAAGGCAGTTGCCAATCCAACATCCTTCATGGTAGCCTTCTTGTCTTCTTTCAGCATCCCTTTCATTCTTTGTTATCTAGCGGCCCAGCCACCCTCTATGGCTATTTCTTGGATGGGGTTCTGTTCTGTTTTGAACTTATGTTTGAAAGCTTCTGATTGTTTTCCTTAATGGTTTTTTTTTTGACTTAGGTTCTTTTTCTACGTGTCTTATTACCATCTGCACAATATTTCTGCCAAGACTTTTGTTCTTGTTTTATTCTCCTCATTAGGACAGTCTTCTCATTTCCTGCAGGAAGCCTTCATAACTTTTACAGCTTCCCAGCTACTACTACTGAAAGTGGGGGGGAGGCATGCTGGCCTCTTCCTAGATTTGGTTGGCCCATTCTGATACTGTACAATATATTCCTGATGAATCTCAAAAATTGAGGGACCATGTGAAGATACTGTGAAGAAATTTAAACCCTTGACTTTATTTTTCAGATTCTTTCACCAGCCCCCTCATTTTTGGGAAGTTCCTATTTTGTACAAGGGAAAAAATGAATGAAACTTCCTAATTTGAGTATGTAAATTAACAGCTATTGAATGTGATTTCCAGATGTAATGCGCAGTAATGGTTTTACAAGCTGGAGGAGGTCGTAAAGTCACATGCTTCTCACCATTATTGTGGGTTCACAGACTCTCTCTTATAGACTGTCAGCACGTAACCACTGCATAATTAAAATGTTTCATTCAGTTCTTTCAATAAAGCTTTCCATTCTCTTCTTCTTAAATTAATGTAAGGAAGTTATGGTTCTCAGGCATATTTCATGGACATCGGTCTCTTCAGATATATTACATAGAATAGTATAGAATATGGAAAGTGTAGAGAAAGACATGCAAAGAAAAACCAAATGCACATATACAGTATAGGTGGTAGCTCACTCAGTATAGTAACCGTGAGAGGGATCTCGGGGCCCTAGTGGACAATCACTTAAATATGAGCCTGCAGCGTGCAGCAGTCACCAAAAAAGCCAACACAGTCCTAGGCTGCATTAACCAAGGGATAGAATCAAGATCATATGAAATGTTAACATCACTTTACAATGCCTTGGTAAGGCCACACTTGGAATACTGCATCCAGTTTTGGTCACCACGATGTAAAAAAGATGTTGAGATTCTAGAAAGAGTGCAGAGAAGAGCAACAAAGATGATCAGGGGACTGGAGGCTAAAACATATAAGGAATGGTTGCTGGAATTGGGCATGTCTAGTTTAATGAAAAGAAGGACTAGGGGTGACATGATAGCAGTGTTCCAATATCTCAGGGGTTGCCACAAAGAAGAGGGAATCAAGCTATTCTCCAAAGTACCTGAGGGCAGGACAAGAAGCAACAGATGGAAACTAATCAAAGAGAGAAGAATGTAGAACTAAGGAGAAACTTCTTGACAGTTAGAACAATTAATCAATGGAACATCCTGCCTCCAGAAGTTGTGAATGCTCCAACACTGGAAGTTTTTAAGAAGAGATTGGTTAACCGTTTGTCTGAAATGGTATAGGGGTTGGGCTAGAAGATCTCAAGGATTCCATCCAACTCTGTTATTCTGTTCTATTTTTTGAAAGAGAGGTGGGAGAATTCAGGTCAACACTACTCTTAACTTTTGGATAACTCCACCAAAATCAGTCTAAGGCCCCAACCGTTTTTCCTAAAGGATCATAAACTTTTCAAAGAAAAATATTTCTTGAGCCTCAAAGGTGAACTACGATTACTAATATAGCTACTCCTCCCTCCACACTAGCTCATGATGTGTAGCTGTAGTTATGAGTGATATGAATCCTGATGGCCAACCAAAGGATCACTGCAGCAATGCTGGAGAAGGGTTTTGAATGATAAAAATGACAAGTGTACATAAAAATGACAGTGTACACAACTTTAAGACTTGTGGACTTCAACTCCCAGAATGCCATAACCAGCTATGCTTGAAGTCCAGTAAGTTTTAAAGTTGCCAAGATTGGACACCCCTGTTATAACCTATTGACCCTGGGGATGTGGCCAAGGGGATCCTCATTATCTGATATTCTCAGGGACAACGAGTTAAGAATTTTTCAAGAACATCTGAAAGCCTGTCCTGAATCATGGATTCCTGTCTTAAAATAACTGGGGGGGGGGGGGGATGTGATTTTTATCAGTAGCCTATTAGTGCCATCTAGTGTTCATCATAAAGGTATATTTATTTCTGTCAGCCTGTATGATTCAGAGATTCAGCAGTTGGTTTCACAAACACGGCATATCCTTTCACCTGACTTCCCCTTAGCACTGGTACTGTATATATTTACACTTGAGTTTTCCTCATCAATTTATCATTGTTGAGTTATGATCTCCATTCTGGCCATTCCTTAATATTAGAAATAATTTGCTGTGGTTGCAGTGATTCTTCCTCAGCTGAAAATCTCATATGATGATCTATACTCCCACATTTATAAAATATATTTATAAAATATAGACTTCCACAAACTGCTTCACACCTATTGCACTAGCAGAATACCCTATCAATAAGTGCAAAGGATTTCTGGGAAATTAGTCCCGGGGGGGGGGAACCTGTCATAGTATTATTTTTGCAGTGACTCAAGTGTGGATTAGCCTCACTATTACATAGAGGAATCCATAGTTGTGGGATACTGCAGGTTAGATGCACGGACAATCATTTTTCAGTTATGACTTTTAGGATCCAGAGGAAATGTCAACTGGCAGGAACTAAAAAACGTGCCTTCTCTGCTATAGACCCTGCCCTCTGAGGTATTCTCCTCTCAGAGTTGAGGATTACCCCAGCCCTGCTGGCTTTCTGTAGAACTTTGAAGGCCTAGGTGTGAAGGGCCTGCTTCCTGGCTACACTTGTAATCTAGAATGAGTTTTTTTTCTTGCTATATATATATATATATATATATATATATATATATATATATATATATATAATTTGTATTGTACTATAACAGTTTTACGATTGTTTGCTGCTCAGAATCACTTGCTTGAGATGGGCAACTGTAGAATTTGAATGAATTAAAGACGGATAGATAGATAGACAGACAGACAGACGGATAGAGGCAGACAGACAGACAGAGCAATATGTGCCTTTCAGATTCAATTGTTAGGCAAGTTGTTGTTAAATCTGAGAAAGGGAAATGTGCATCTAGATTCCTTGCCCGACACACAAATTGATAACCAAATTTAAGAGATCAAAAGGAGCGTTTCATTTTGAAAATATACTCAGTCAAGCAATATTCATAGTACTTTTGCTAACAGACATTGCAGGGTTGATAATGTTGCTGTAAATGCATTTTGTTAAAAGAATGTAAGGCAATTATGCCATCTTTGTGATTCTGGTTATTCTGGTTATTTTATTTATGCCTAGTCCACTGGATCCAGTGGAGGGATTCAAATATGTGAACAACCAGTTCTCTGTGTGGATGCTGCTTCTGGAAGTCCATTTTGGGCCTGGGCAACAAAAAATTAGCTGCTGGTTCTGTCGAACTGGTGCGAACTGGCTGAATCCCACCACTGACTGGATCTCTATTAATTATATTTTCTCTTTATTTCAAAAACAAAAGCACGGTCAGAGGAGCTTACGCTCCTCTTTAAGCAACTCTCTTCAAATTCCTCTTTGGTAATTCATGAGGCAATAGAGATACAAGCATCCTAGAAATTGCATGACTGAAATTCTAGATTTAGATGTTTACAAGTTTATATTGTCATTATGTCACAATAAGTGTATGTATGTACATACTCAGCTGGATACAATTCAAGATCAAGTCTGATTCAAATTATTTTTTTATACAATTCTCTGGTAACTTGTCACATCTCATATCCTACCAGCATATCATGTTTCTTTTTCTCCTTTTGTCTAGTTTGCAGCACCCCTCCTGTCAATATGAAAGTGAAACTCGTTAACCGAACAGCCTTGCTGGTGACCTGGAATCAACCAGAGATTATCTATCACCCACCCATTATGAACTATATGATTTCCTATAGTTGGAGTAAAAACGAAGATGAAAAGGAGAAGACGTTCACTAAGGACAGTGACAAGGACCTGGTAAAGCTACAGCCATCTGACATTGCCATTAGTGTTAAGATAACCTCACTTTCTCTGTCCTCAGTTAAAATTATGGATATAAAACGTCTAGGGGCTTAAACTGGTTTTTCAAATTTGCATTGAGTTCCATTAACAACATGGATGGCATTGAGAACTGAACCCATTTCATAATAAGAAACCACCTTAATCTCATTCTTTCTATGAATGGTTTAGAAGAGCATAGAGTCTGTATATCAGGAAAGTTGAAAGAAGTTGCCCCTTAGGAATCCAGTTTAGATGGTTATATTAAAGTCTATGTTTTCTCCCTACATTTAATCTGGAATGCCTCTTTGAGAAGATTTCCTTAAAGGGAAGCTACTATTAGTGAGCTTACAAATTATTGGCAATACCCTGGGCCCGTTCCAAGTTCACCTTATTTACAGGGTGAATATGATGGTGTAATGAAGAAACAGCTAAGATTTAACAAAAAACATCAGCACAAGTCATGGAAATGCACAAGTAGGTTAGAATGTCAATCCAGAGACAAACAACAATTACAAAAGTCCTTAAAATTCCCCGACAATTACAAAAGTCCTTAAAATTCAATGTGTAAAGAAGGAGAATGACGCATTCCATTTTGCGAGGGCTCAGTTTATTGTTAATCAAAGAAAGCCTCTGAAATAATGTAATCAGTCGTTGTATCTGCACATAAAAATGCAGCCACAGTGAGTTAAATTCCTAATGACAGTTATCTTTTCTCCTTTGCAAATACATCTTCCTTGGGTGCCATTCAGTTTTAGAATAATATGTCTCTTATTCTTTCTTAGATTAAGGCACTTTTTACTCAATTTTTCATTTATACTTTCAATCCCCCCCCCCTCCACACACACATGAAGTTGTTATTGGGGGGGGGGGAAAGAAACCTAGTGCTTCATGAAATCATGAAGCAATCTTGCAGAAGGAGATGTAGCGGTTAGGGCTTTATCATTTTAAACTTGTCATCCTTTCCCCCCCCCAAGAGAGATGCTTCTTTATCCCTTTAATGAATAATAAAGACAGCGAACATTAATCACGAGAATTATTTAGTCACAAATGCAGGAACATTTTCCAAGGTGTACCTGTGGCCCATTATCAATTCCTTGGGTTCCTTCAGGATTGATTGCTTAGCTGTTAGGAACGCTAGACTAATTGGCATTCAGAAGCCAGGCTTTCCAGCCAAATTCAGTCTGTGGCCAATCCAAATGGATGTTTCTATTTTAACTGGCTGTTTCAGCTGTTTACACGATGCATATTTTCTTTCCTGTATCTCCTGTATGTTATCCCCCAAAGATTACTCCCACAGTCATGGAAAGAAAATAAAAAGTAAGATGTAAACATTCTCACCCTCTGTGGGCAATCAGGCTATGAGAGAGTGGCAAGACCAGTCTCCCAAGCTGGGTAGGCAGGTCAGTCTTATTCCTGACGTAACATGTGTTCATTCTAGTTCAGTGATGGCGAACCTTTTAGAGATTGAGTGCTCAAAACCTGGCCCCATCCCCATTCCACCCCCTGCCCCACCCCACTTCACCCCCCAATCCCCCGCCTTGCCTGCCTGGAGGGCCACTTACCACCTCCAGGGCCTGCCACAGATCACCCAGACAGCCCAGCAGTGCCATGGCGGCCACACCCTCTGCCTGCGCCCCACTACATCAATTGTGCGGGATGGGGCATGAGAGCAGAGTCTCGTCTACGCTGCCTGGCTGCCATGTCCTTGGCTGCGCTGCTCCACATAGGCCATGCTCAGGGGTGACTCTCCTTCAGGGGGCTGCTGGAGAGGAGGGGGTCACGGGGGGAGGCGAGGTGGGGCAACGGCATGTGTGTCCACAGAAGGGGCTCTGAGTGCTGCCTCTGGCACCCATGCCATAGGTTCGCCACCACTGTTCTAATTCATCCACTTGCACATCTCTTTTATCCCACTTCTGCATTAATTTCAGTTTCTTTTAACCGTCATACATTTTGCATTGAAATACGCATTTTTTTCAAACAGCTTGTATTTCTCATGGTAATGTACAATTAAGTACGTTATCTAAAATACACTCCTTAAATCCATGCTGAGGCATTTTTGCTGAATTACCCTAGTCAGAGAACTATAAAGTCCAAAGGCGAGTTCCTTTGTGGTGTATGCATTAGAACTTTTTCTTCCCACAAAAACTAAATAATTGTTTCTTTTGGCCAGCCATTTTTTTTTTTTTTGCATATGAATTTAAGGAACTTGTAAAAGGACCCTAAATTCTTTTTGCAAATAACAGTTTAAAAGGAAGAATTTCCTTTCGCGTTTCCTTTGTCCAGTTCAGTTATCAGAAGATTCAGAGAAAGCCTGTAGAATCAGTTACAAGGTTTAGCAGGAAGGAAATGAAAAACGGCCTGTGCATTATGTCATCATTGTGACATCATTACACAACTGAGACAGCTAAACAGATCTGTGACAGATGTTAGAACCCGAGTATATATAACTACATCAATTGTGAGATGATGTCATGATCCATGTGTCAACTTTTTGATGTCCTGGTGACTTGTTCTGGAAGCCTAAGGGACCAGGTAGAATTATTGCTTGGCTGAAATAACCATAATAGCCCAGACTAGGATCTAATAAACTTGACATCAATTTGAAATTCTGCATCTTTTCAGATTTTTCTTGTACTAGCTTCTGAATCACAGTCATACACTGTATTAGAAAAGTATTTTGATACTTTGCATTAAATGATACAGAGAGCCAGTATTGTGTAGTAGTCAAAATGTTAGACTAGAAGGAAGGAGACGCAGGATCCGGTTCCCCCAACCATGCAACCTACTGGCGACGTTGGTCCTGTTACTCACAGCATAACCCACCTCACAATTGTTGTGGTTGTGATTGGAATAAAATAGAGGAGATGGCATCATGTACGCTCATGAATGAAAAGGAGAGTATAAATTAATCATGAATGAAGGCAAATATAAATAAATCATTATAAATCTAATCGGTCCTCATGGCAAAGAGAGATAAATCCAGATCAATCTTCCATATACCCCTTTTTTTTCAAACAGCAGTATCAGTTGAATTTCCTCAAACATTTGTAAGCCCACTTTTGTGCCTGTAGTACTCTACAAGGAAATACTGGGGGCCTTTCAGATGCAACTAAATTAGAACTCCATCATTCACCCTAGATAATTCTGACTAAGGCTGGTAAAAATGGTGGTTCAGCAATTTCTGGTTGGGAAGAGAAATTTGGAATTTGATGCCACATCAATGTCTCCTACAATGTGTCCAGTACTCAGATCTAAAGTAGGCATGGCGTGGACATAGAGAAGCAACCTAGAACTAAGGAGAAACTTCCTGACAGTCAGAACAATTAATCAGTGGAACAACCTGCCTCCAGAAGCTGTGAATGCTCTAACACTGGAAGTTTTTAAGAAGAGACTGGGCAGCAATTTGTCTGAAATGGTATAGGGCAGTGATGGCGAACCTTTTAGAGACTGAGTGCCCAAAAACTGGCCTTGCCCCTGCTCCGCCCCCACCCTGTCCCCCACCCTGCCTGCCTGCAGGGCCACTCACCTCCTCCAGGGCCCGCTGCAGATAATCCAGGCAGCCCAGTAATACCATGGCAGCCATGCCCTCTGCCCACATCCCGCAGCATCAACTGTGCGGGATGGGGCATGAGGGCAGAGTCTTGCCTATGCTGCCTGGCTGCTATGTCCTTGGCTATGCTGCTCCATGTGGGCCACTCTCGGGGGGGTCACAGGGGGAGGCGAGGCTGGGGCAACAGCACGTGTGCCCACAGAGAGGGCTCCGAGTGCCGCCTCTGCCATAGGTTTGCCACCACTGGTATAGGGTTTCCTGCCTGAGCAGGGGGTTGGACTAGATGACCTCCAAGGTACCTTCCATCATCATCATTATTATTATTATCATCATCATCATCTTCCCTATTAGAGTCATATTTTTTCTTTTCCTTTTTTTTTTTTTTTTGCCCAGTATCTACAAAGATTTAAGAAAATAACAGCTTGAGTTCAACAAGCATTCAGGAAGGAGTGACAGGGCAGGTGCACCCTGTCACCATCTCTGTAATGCTTCTTGGTTTCAAATGCAGTTTTTCCTAAGAACATGCAGCTTTGCAAATCCAAGAGAAAGTATGAATTCTTCAAAAGAAAAAAAAAAAAAGTGCCTATAGGCATATTGAAGCTGGCCATGCCAGATCCATGGTATTTTTGCCAGCTTCAGGTCATGCTAACAACTAAATACTGTACATCTCTAATATCTTCCCATAATGACTTAGTCGGTATTTAGATTCCTAATGTAGGAACATGTAGTCATACTTCAGTACTCGACTGCTTTAAAATGCGTCGAATTTGGTACTCAGTGCAGTTTGATGTGAAAATTTTGTCCCGGTAATCATTGTTTGTTTGGTATTCGACATGTAGGCTAGAACTTGTTGGTGTCGGCTACCTTGTGACTCGCTACCCTTTCCGGCCAAAACAAAGGGTCCTGTGTTAAATCACGTGGTTTGTTTGGTCCTCATCGTTTTTAGTACTCATTGTGCCTCCCAGACCCAATTAAGCCACTGTATATGGGGACAGGTGTTCACTGCTGCCTCTTCTTTCTTGAGCAGATGCCCTAATAATATTAAGAAATTTGGCTAACTTGGCTCGAATCATTATTCAAATCATTTTGTTTCCAATTTCATTGGGGGTTGTTTGTTTATTTTACAGAAAGGGTAATCCTTCTTCCTGTCCAAAGTGTGACATTGCATTGATTTCTCTATCCTTTGGCACCGTTTCTTTACTGTGGACTTTTTCTCTAGTCAAATAAACTTACCATTTCCATAAAATGTATTCAAGTATTTTTTTATGTTTTACAGACTGATCATTCAGCATCCTGTTGGGAGGGATAAAACTGAATAACATCTATTTTTTTTAAACAGAAAGCCATCATTAGCCATGTCTCACCTGACATCCTTTATCTGTTCAGAGTTCAAGCAGTTTGCCGAAATGACATGCGCAGTGATTTTAGCCAGACAATGCTCTTTCAAGGTAACACCATCCAAAATTCCTATACCCCTGTAACGTTCTCTCAGCCGACAAAAGTATATAGGGAAAGAATAAGTTTGCAAGCAGCTGTAGGATTTAGGATCTGTGCTTACCTCCAACTGTGCTTACATCTACTCAAGGGAAGTAGAAACATAGCTTAAGGGAGAAAACTTTGCTTATTTAAGTTATAGTATCATGAGCTCACAAGATACCGAATTTCCTTCCAAGCTTGGAGTCTTATTGCTAGTGAAACAGAAGTGAGCAGTAATCATCATTGTTGGCTATCCACGTACACTGAGAGTTTGGAGTCAGTGTGCACTTGCAGCCATCGCTTCCTGTGGTTCAGTGGCCTGAGTAAAGATGTATTTTTACATTAAATTATCTCTGTGCTTGAGGATCATCTCAGTGGGGAGGAATCCCTTGCTCTACTTTCCCTAAGCTGTATTTGCATCCTGTATGTGATCTTGCTTAACTACAATACTACCATTAAGTTAAATACCTTTAGCTATATTAGCCTTTTTATAGCTCAATGTCACTGAGGATTCATGATAGAGTAGATGCTACGTGAATTCTAACAAGCCCAGTGTCAGATCCAGGAAGCAGCGAGCTTCTAATTTCCCAGGAGATTTATAGCAGGATAGGTAACCATCTTGAAAAGGTGCTCCTGGAAGGCAAGGATTTTCTTAACGGTAGGAAGTTGAAAAACAAAAATCACAGAAGATTCCATGTATACATTGAAATACCTTGGTGTGCACAGAGGTTTTTGGATTTCATTCAGCAACTCCCAAAAGAAGCAAGGTTCAAATTCCCACAGATAGAAAGAACTCTACGTGATTTTGGTATACTCATTATCTCTCAGGCCAATTCACCTCGGCATGTTATTGTATGAATATACTGTAAGGGGAAAGGTATCTCACAGAGAAAAGGTGAACGTAACAAATAAATAAATTCTGATTTTTTTTTCATATGTGACTGAGTGAAGCAGACAGCAGAATTGATGTTCCAACTGTTCTTTTATCGAGGACATGAATAGCTTGATGGGTTTTTGTCACATCCCAAGTCTATCTAAGTAGTGTAATTGGTTTGAAATAAATGGGCCTGTCATGCTGAAAAACAGGGAAATATTAGCTTGGAAGAGGAAAGGAGGATTCCTTTGGTACAGAATTACATCAATTCTTGTTCTTTATTTTGGATTTTCTATCATGTTAAAAATGCACCACAACAGATTCTCCAGCCCCATTTTTAATGGGACTGGCAGTAATCTATGCATAGCATAACTACTTTCATTGAGTATTAAAGTATTTAAATCAGGAAGGATAATGTTTTGATTTCATGGGTGTTTATGATACTGCTCGCATTGAAGCTCCAAAGTCAGGATGATCAAGGTCAGTTGCTCAATTTTAAGAAACAGTAGTTTGAAGACCAATCTGAGTCTCTAACAACATCTTCTAGTTACCTAATGCCTGTAATTTCTGTTGCTCCCCAATAGTCCATTGATTAATTTATTTAATCCTGTTTATGTAAAAAAGCACAGCTATAATATATTTTTGTTTAAGGTTTTAGAATTTATAAATTGTGGCTTATAATTTTATTTTATATATATGGAAACCTTTAGATGTAGTGAACTGTTCATTATATTGTGAGCATCAAAATGTAGTGTCTCCTATCCGGTTTTACAGCCTGCTTAGTTTAACAAGGAGCACAGTACCAAATTCATTAAGATTGCTTTCATGGCACTTATCTAAAATTGTCTCACTGTGTGTTTTGTATAGTTAATTGGCACTCAGATTTAAATAGCAAGGCGCCTGTTTATTTTTAAAGCCGATTTCCGCAATCTACGGCCTCTTGATCTGTGGGACTGCAGCTTCCTAAATTCCAAATATATTTAGAGGTTGGGAAAGCTTACTCTGGAAATTATAGATTGGTAGAGAAATAAAGGAGGTTAGAAATAACAGGAAGGTGTTTTAATTGAGGATAAAAATCCAGTTATATGGATTTATAAGTTTTAGAAATATAAGTATGGGAAAAGCAAACTTAAAAAAAAACTTCACAGATCAGTTAAGAATCATTTATTTGTACTGCTACTGTTATTCTTCAGTATGAGTAGTTCTAATATTTAACAGTCTCAATGGGATTTTTAAAGCTCTGAGAGCATCAAGGATCTCACAGTTCAACCATGAGCTACAAATACACTCTCTTCTCTTGATTTTAAAGTATTTTTTTGTTATAGATTCTACATTAATGTTTGGCAAATACTTTATGGTTTTATAATCAAACCTTCTTTTCTCTTTCCCTCCCTCCCTCCTTTCCTGCCTCCCTCCCTTCCTTCCTCCAGATAACACAACTCGAATATTTGAGGGGACCAGAATAGTAAAAACAGGAGTGGTAAGTGAGATGATTCACTAAAATGATTGTAAAGCATTTATAACATCTTCTCCAGCAGGTGGCAGCATAGCGTAACAAATATCTCATAAAATTGTGGCCTGATTGGAATTGTGATTCCAAATTTTTTGATTGGGTGTTCTGAGCTATTTTCAACACTGGTTGTTTAGGATTAGGATTGCAAGATCACACATCTTGAAATCATTGTACTCTGAGTATTAAATAGGGGTGACATTATAACTGTAGTCCAGTATTTGAGGGGCTGTCACAAAGAAAAGGGGGTCAAATTATTCTCCAAAGCACCAGAGGGCAGGACAAGATCAAAGAGAGAAGCAACCTGGAATTAAGGAGAAACTCCTAACAGTGAGGACAATTAACCAGTGGGACAGGTTGCCTTCAGAAATCGTGGGCGCTCCATCACTGGAGGTTTTTAAGAAGAGATTAAACAGTCACTTGTCTGAAATGGTATAGGTTCTCCTGCTTGAGCAGGGGGCTGGACTAGAAGACCTCCAAGGTGCCTTCCACTTCTATTCTGTTCTATTCTATTCTATTCTGTTCTATTTTATTAATGTTTTATAAAAATAGTTTCTGTAAGCCAAAGTTTTCCCCGAAGAACATTGCACTATGTTCAGGTAACTCTCGGTGGACTAAATTAGCAGGGAGACAATTTGGTGGCTAATTTTGTTCCATTCTATTAAGAACCCAAAATTATGCTGAGCGTTTGTGACAGAAATGTTTGATCTATCTTGTCCAGTCTCATGCCCTCCAGATATGTTGAGGATACAGTTCCCCATATCACTGCCTTTGCTAGCTGGGAATTGCACCCTAGCAATAAGAGATCATCGAGAAGTTTCTTCATATTTCGCATTATATATTCAATTTATCTTCTATGTTTCAAGAGAGTAGGATTAAGCTTGATAGAAGACAATAACACAATAACAGGAACCTCTGGAGAATATGTATGTGTGTATATGTGTATGTGTATATTTATATCTCAGAGGTTATCACATTTAAGTTTAAAGCATGTCATTCCATATCATTCCAGTCTAAATTGCTCATCTGATTGATCCTCCTAGTTGCTATTTGGCTTTTATCATGTTAGTTATTTATGACTATCCATTCTGTACCAATAGATTGAGCAAATCTAGTCATTAACATACATCTTAATTTGTGTAAAGATTAACTTGAACATCTCTAGCAGTGATCTAGTTTTGATATTCCTACAAGGTCGTTACTTAGCTATCTATTTTGGAATATAATGGTGATGGCATGCTTTCAAGGTACTTACCATGGATTACATAGCCTCATTTAATTACTGTTTTATAAATTCAATTAAGATGGGCAAAGTATTGTGAAAAAGTGGATCGTTTCTCATTAAGCCATGTTTATGCCATGATTAGGGACACTGGAATTCCTGTAAGATTAATTTAAATAACATTAAGGTTTATTCTTATTTAAATTCATCCCAAACTGCCAATATTGATGCTGTAAATGTATGCAACTCACAGCCAAGGCCATATTTCATGCTGGCATAATGAATAGGTAACACTCTGCAAGGCGGTGTTGTAGGACACACTTCCCCTGTTTGATACTATCCAAATGTACAGGTGGTCCTCAGCTTATGACCACAATTGGGAGCAAGAAATTTACCATTAAATGAGGCATCATGTGACTGCACTCAATTTTATGATATATCTGTCATGGTCATTAAGTGAATCAATGTGGTCATTAACCATGACTGTGACATGCAACCTTCCCTACCAGCTTCCCTATTGATTTTACTTTTAGAAGCTGACCAGTTGATGATCCCATGACTGCAGGACAATGCAACTGTTGTTAAGTGTGAGCTAGTTGCCAAGCACCAGGATTGTACTCACCTGAGCACAATGAAAATGCAAGGTCGTAAGGATGAAGACTGGTCATAAGTCACTTTTTTTAAGAGCCACTGTAACTTCAAATGATCACTAAATGAATGGTCATAAGTTGAGAACTAACTGTAATGGGCCACAGTAGTCAGAGTTTCCAGCCAGTCTAGGCCCCATCTTAAACAATAGAGAATTTTCAGTCCGGAGTTCTGCTGCCCCAACATATATAAATAATTTCTTTGTGGTATATATAAAGTTATAGCAGTATAGATTGTTGAGTGAAATAGATTTGGAGATCTGTTCTAGTTCATGTTAATGATTTTGATGATAACAAAGTTAACTTTAATATTTTCCCTCCCCCTTCTCTATTATTTCTTTAAAATCCTGTCTACATGCCATTCTTTTGAAAAGTCAAGGTTTTTCAGTGAATTGCAGTATATTACATAAAAATAATAATAGAGAACATGCTGCCGCAATCTTAATTTGATAGTATAACCCATTTCCTATTTTGGAGCTGCCTAAACTTCCTATAGATAATTTGACTCCTCTTTAATTGGAAGCTATGTGCACACCAAAATACACACCAAAAGCTACGATACACCAAAATACTTCAGCATTGTCAGTGAAGATCCAAGGCAATATGAAGAAAACTCTTGCTATTAATATTATAAACTGCATACCTTTTAAGAAGGCATTATTACTGTATCTTAAAAATGCTTGGGAAAAAGAGAAAAAATACAATTGATCCATCCCACACATACTTTATAAACATATTTTACAAAATGGAACACAAATAATAATAACAGAAAATAATGCAACATTATGTAGTTTAAAAGTTGTTCAGATTTGGCAAAAGATATTCATGTACAATCAGTCTAAAATGGTGTTCTTAGGTCCCATATACCTAATTGTTTTCTATAAGGAAAATGTAAGCATGTTTTCCTTAAGTGATTGGATGCTAGCTGCATTGTTGATGTAGAAGAATGACAGACTCCCTTAAATACATTCTTTTGACTTATTTAGACTGCAATTCTGGCTTCATTTCCCTAGAGGTCAACCAGTGACTGTAGTGGGTCTTCAATTTAAGTAAATATGCTTTGGATGGTGTTATTAATCTTCTAGATTAAAGTAATTGTATCTGTAATTGGACAGCAGAAGGGCCTCTTTCAAACATAATAAGCAGTTTTATGTCTTCTTGTGTTGTTTGTCTTGTAAATTTTGTCTTTGCTGCCAGCTAGCTTTAACTATAACGGTTGAAATATACTTGTCTTATTTAAACAGAATAATGGGCAGAATGGAGTGGTTGGAAAGAAAAAGAGAACAAAAGGAAAAAAGAGCCGAGGTAGCATGTCAGGTACCTCTACTGATGCTCTTTCTGCTGTGTTTTCTTCTCTTGTTCCCCCTCGTGATTTCTTCAAGCCGACAGCTTCTCCAGCACCTTCAGCCGACATGGCTCCCATCAGTTCTGGTTCTTCTACTTGGACTTCCTCAGGCCTCCCCTTTTCTTTTGTCTCCATGGCAACGGGGATGGGGCCTTCCTCTAGTGGGAGTCAGGCTACAGTGGCTTCCGTGGTCACTAGCACCTTACTGGCCGGTCTAGGATTTAGTAGCAGTGGTATTTCTTCTTTCCCTAGTACGGTCTGGCCAACCCGGCTCCCGACCTCTGCCTCAACTAATAAACAGTCGGCCAGGCCAGTGGTGGCTACCACCGAGGCATTGTCTTCTCCAGCACCAGACAGTGATTCTGCTCTCACAAAAGACAATGAAGGAGCTGAGGATGGAGAGAAAGATGAAAAAAGTGAAAGCGAGGATGGCGAAAGAGAGCATGAGGAAGAGAGAGAAAAGGATTCTGAGAAAAAAGAAAAAAGTGGTGTGACCGAAGCTGCTGAAACACAAGATAATAGTGAAGCTACAAACACCACTCTTTCTCCCAACAGAACTATGGAGGAGGGAGGAAATGAAACTATATCTGATCATGAGCAAAGCCAAAATATTGTACCAACAGGTAGGACTCCTGAAAGAGGAGAAGGAGTTACAGGAATAGACACTGAATTCAATAAAGTCAGTTCCACCCAAGTGCCGACACTATTCATAAATGAACAATATACTGGTGAGATTCCAAGAAGACCAGAAACAGCATCAACATCTTTACCAAAAGATAATAGATTTATTACCATTCATCCAGGTGAGTTGTTTTTGTGGAAGTGGGTTGGATTTTTTTCAATCATTAAAACACAATTAACAAAATTAACACCAATGTTTTTCAACTGTTACCAATTCGGGGATTCATATTTTAATTACACTAATTAGAAATATAGATAGTCTGTACATATTTTGTAATAGAAGCTAATTTCCGTATGTAGTCCAAACAGTTCATTTCTATTTCATATATCAATTGATCAAGATAAAGAGTAATAATAATAAAGGTTGCACATATTTATTTGCTGGTCAGAAATCTCTGATGCTTGGTATTTTTCTTCAGTTTCTCCTGATAAGTTATTTATGTAGTTTTCCTCATTACCGGTTTGCACGTGAATGTATTGTGTCATGAATATGGTCTTATTTCTGTAGAATACATTTTTTTTCCACAAAACAGCCCTCATTTTAGTAATTTCTCTTACTGCAAAATAATAATCTTAAGCTTTTAGAAAAACAATACATAACATATTGCCATTAAAAGAACAATAATAATAGTTAAAATTGAACAATAGTACAGTTGTCCCCCCAAAAATCAGACACTACTAAAGGAGTAAAGACCATCCTTTGAATAACAGAATTCAAATTTGTCAAGCGTGAAAGATCAGGACCACACATGAAGTTCTGATTAAACTTATTTATTACTAGTCCTGCCTATGCACAGCTCAACTAATGGTTATTATTATCTTGGCATTAGATAAGGGTCAACAGAATTCAAGACGAGTTAAACATAGTCCATTTGTGGCTACATAGAGACTCTAGGCTGATTCCTCTTTTGACTCCTCCCCAAGGTTCTGCCATTTTTGTCCTACAATTAGATGGACATGTAGACTTGTAAACTGTGAGTGTGTATTAAAGGGAATGTTGAAGTATAGCTAGATTAGATTAGACTATACTATACTAGACTAGATTAGACTAGACTAGATTGGACTAGACTGATAAACTGTGAGTGTGTTTTAAAGAGAATGTTGAAGTATAGCTAGATTAGAATAAATGAAAAACTTATAATTAAAAAGATGGAAAACTTCCAAATAAATAGGAAGACTATTGGACTACCACATTGGAAGAGGCAGGCACATTCACAGATGATAGAATAAATGAGCACACATTCCAGTAGAGAGAGGTTCCCTGAAGATGGGCTCCAGCACAAGTCCAAAATCTCAGAAGACTAAACCTCTGGTCCCAGTGACTGATCCAGATTGGATCCTGCAGAATAAATGAGTTCTTAACATTCACTGCTTCAGACAGGAATTTAGTGCAGAGAGTGGTGAGGATGGCTGAAAAGATCATTGGTAGTTCCCTCCCTTCCACCCGGACATAGCACATAAGTGTCGCAAGATTGTGTGGGACACTCATATCCTCTTCACGATCTGTTTTCTTTTACCTTCTGGAAGGAGACTTCGTGGTATCTGAAGCAAAACATCCAAATTCAGTCACAGTTTTGTTCCGTACAGTATGAACCTTGTGAGCTCTAAAGCTTTCTCCTTCCGTTATGTATTCAAGATGGATAGTAATTAATATTTATATGTTATTTATATGTAAGGGTGTAGGTCTATATACATGTTATATATAGTATGTTTTAAATGTGTGTTATGTATGTGTACACTTTAAGAGCAAGCAACTGAATTTCATTTTTAATGTGTGCCATTGTGCCCACAGGAAAAAATGACAATAAAAGTTATCTAATCATCTAAACAAGGAACCGTGTTGGGAAGGGTCCAACACTTGAGTTATTCTTCTTGGGTGATGAATTGTAAGAAATTTTGCTTTTCAAAATAGATTTTGAAGGACGTTCATGGATTTGAAGAAGGGCAAATCAAGGAGACCAAATGTTCTTGTAAAAACATAGGGTATGAAAATGACATAGGCACCTTCTTCTGAGTCTTACTCATAGACACCCACATCCCTTTAACTCCAGATAAGGTCAAGTAATTTGATCGATCTGACTGGAATGCTTGGCTAATTATTAAAAGTCAAAGGTGGATATGGCTAGTAAATACATGATTCCAGGAAAGAGTTTGCATAGTTTTGATTGTGTAGAGCAGAGCATGCTGTAAAATGCCTATTGAATTCCTAGTAACTGGCTTACATGCCTAAGGCGGGACTAGAATTCGCCGTCTCCTGGCTTCTATCTGGTGCCTTAAACACTGAACTAAATACGGTTTTGGGGTTTTTTGAAGACTGCTAAATCTTTAAATTTTAAGATCTGCTATGGCAAAAGTTATATTTCCTACCACCATCAATCATCTAGATTTCAGTATGTCCATCAGGTAGCAATGGATTTTCACATTGAATGTCTAGGGCAGGGGTAGTCAACCTTGGCTCTTTTATGACTCATGGACTTCAACTCCCAGAATTCCTGAGCCAGCTAAGCTGGCTCAGGAATTCTGGGAATTGAAGTCCACGAATCATAAAAGAGCCAAGGTTGACTACCCCTGGTCTAGGGTCTAGTCTGCTCAGATGTCAGCATAGTATTTAAAATACCACAGTGCGGTATTTAAAATAAGCTGGAGTCCATGCAAAAAAAACTTTAAAGATAACCTCATTAGGATAATTAAGCATCTGTGCATGGAGGGGGTCCCCCTCTTCTTCCATATGTGGCAAGATTTATTAAGTTATCATTTCTTGTCATTCTTGAATATTTTTGCAGTGCAGCTTGTAGATGTCAGTTTGCCTGTAGGTAAACAAAAGAATCAGAGCAGATTTTGCTGGCAGACTGTGTATACATAATATGACACTACAAAAGGAGAACACGGAATGCCAGTCGAAACAGGAAAAACATACTAAGGTGTACAGAGAAATGAGAGCCATACCGGTGACTAAATAAACAATAGCTTATTTTAGCTTATTTGACTACCTCCTTTCATATTACAGAATTGTCCGGTATATTGCAGTATAATACTACAGTAATAGAGTAGTGTTAACTTTAAAATATCTAGGATTCAATTAAATGGTTTCTGCTGTAGCGGAAACCACTGGATCTTGATCTGTTTCTATTTCACTGTTTTTTAATTAGGACACAATGTCATCTTTGAAGAGGGATCTCTGGGAAAAATGGATCCACTTGGCTGTGTTTTGGATCCTAGTAATCTCTCATTTCATGCCTTTTGCTGTCTTTATTCCCATTGAATTAAGCTTATTTACTGCCCTTGGTTTTGGGGTAACCAGATACGATTGAGGGAAGATTTTATTCAAGGAAATATTTTCATTATAGTTTTCTGCAGTGAACAGGTGCTCTCCTAAGAGCCATTATGGAACAAATAAATTCCATAATGTAAAATAAATTTATATTTGACTCTGTGAGTGGTTAGGTTAGCATGATTAGCTAATCTCTTTTTGATCTTGGTTCATGATATTAGGGGATCTTTAATGCAATAATTATCTTCATAGAGATTCAAAGTTGGTGAAAACTATTGAATCCAGCTTTCTTAGGTATCTAATTGCCATCGAAAAGTTTACTAATTTTACTTGGCTGACAAATAGTTGCCAGTGTTGGTGGTTAAGCTAGGTAGAATGTTCTTGAGGCATAAACTCTTTTTCTCTGTGTGTGTTTGTGTCTCTACACATACATACATACATACGTATGTTCATTCTCCTCTGTTCTCTTCCTGGGATGAATTCCAAGCCAGCAAAAGGCAAACTGAATTAATGTAGCAGTGACATATGCCATCAAAAAGTGTTTGCATTCCTTAGCAAAACTCCAGTTTCCTCATCCTTTAAAAAAACATGGGCATTTTTACAAAAAAAAAAAACCCATACAGGATGTTTTTGCTTCTGAACTGCCTTTATTTAAAAAATGAAAACTAAAAGAACTAGGCTTTGATTACTGTGCAAAGTTGTTGGGATGCAGAGAAATAGAAATATGCAGGCTTTTCTATATATTTTATGCATTGTTTTTAACATTCTACAACAGGCTGCTTTTTTTAAAAAAATATTTTTATTTTATTCAAATACAAATAATACAAACAATACATATAAGTCTAAATAAAAAAACAGTATAAAAATACAAATACTACAGTGCACCCACCCCCTTGGAGACCATTTTTATTACCTATATTTCTTCTCATATAACAACTAACAATATACAATATATTTCAACTGTGCCCTTATCCCCTCCAAAACAGGCTGCTTTTTTATAAGTTTGTCAGTGATGGACCCATGTTGGGAGCAATTTCTCCAGTATTTTTTTATATATACTTTGTTATAATATTTCTATGCATGCTAAAATATTTCAGATTTTAGAAAAGCAATTGTCACCTATGTCCACCAATATAAATGTCTTGTTAAGTTTCTCTCTGCTTTTCTTTCAAGATACATGTTTATGGTGTGTGTGTGTATAGCCAGATAGAGATAGAAATATATACCTAGAAAGAGTTAAGCCTGGTTTCTAAATTGCAATGGACATATGGAATATCTGGGGATGCTCCATCTGGAATGCTAGCAAGCAACTTGGGTAACTGTTCCCCACTCTTCTCAATGATGAACCTATCACAGCTGAGACCTACAGGCCAAGGACTTCACATCCAGGTGTAAAGAGAAGCTCCCTCCATACATATATGCTCCACCATGTTTGCAAAAGAACATCACACATAAATTTGAGTGTAGCAATGCTTCCGCTTTTGCTGCTGATACTGAAAAATGGGTAACATGCTTTCCTGATGTTTTGAAGGATAAGACACATGGAAATGGCAGTAGAAGGCCTCAAGAACAATGAAAACATCTGTTAATGGCCTCTGAAAACAGGGAGGCAGTGGGGTTTCTCTCATCTAAAGAAACCCTCTCTTGATTTGACATTATACATAACCTACCATCTTTTCTTTTTAAAGGAAAGATAATGGAAAAAGTGGTTGGACTACCTGGGATGGAGGTTATTTTGTTCCTTTTTATTCAGCATTGAATAGAGGAAATGCAGGTTTTCTGGTCCTATTTGAGCTATCAGTGGCATTTGATATCATTGCCCCTGGTATCCCACTGAAGCATCTATGAAGT